GAGAAACCTTATGACATAAATCTTTTACACTTAGTCCCTTCTTAAAAACATTTATTCCTATTTTGAGATACAATATCTAAAATATCCCACTGTGTGTGGGTATGGTTTTTTTGTTTGTTTTTTTCTAGCTCTACTACATTTTCCTTACTAATTTGCTCTTTTGGGGGCAGTCCTCAGTGTTCCAGCCTTTCCACAATAGATTATTGTATTACACAGATGTAGCCTTGCCATAAATACTCTCTGCCCCTCTGGTTGCTCTGCCAGCCACTCGCCAAGTGAGGACACAGGGCGAACAGTTCTCTGGGGTGTGCTTCAGTGTGTTGAGCTGGCCCTCCCTGGCTCTTTGTCTAATACATACTAATGCTTTTTTCCCTCCTGACTTAGGAGTACATGCTAGTTTGATCATTTCTTGTTTTGCTTGTTCTTTCTGTGTTAACAGAGAAAGAGATGACTTAATGTCTGCACTAGTTTCTGTAAGGAACAGCTTGGGAGATATGCAGCAAAGAGAAACAAGTGCCTATGAACAGGTTAAACAAGCTGTGCATATGACTGAGGAAGCCAATTTTGAAAAGACCAAGGCAAGTCTAATAAGATGAAAATAAAGGCAATGCAGAATTACTCCTTTTTTTCCCTATTTCTTTGGTTATTCTCTTGTAACTAAACTTTTTCCAAACACAAAGTGAAACTGTTTTAATGTTGACTTTTCTAAATTAAACAGGTTTGGTATTTGAAGGATTCTTTTTTCCTCTGCAAATGATTTTGTTATATCATTATTCAGAGATTGTAATGCAATATGGTGACATATTTTGAGAGACTTGTATGCTTAACTTTTTATTTGCTGATAGTTTTCAATGCTGTGGAAATCTTAACACCTATAATCACTCATTTGTATATGTTCACATATGGCTAAAGACACGTTTTTCCTCTAGACGTGGAAAAATTTATAACATAAATAGGGCACAGATAATAATATATGTAGATAATAATATTTTGTTCCATCATTAGCTATGAGTTAGAATCCTAGCTATGAGTTAGAATCCATTGTCAGCTAAATTAAACATATTTAAAAATAATGATAGTGATGGTACTAAACACTTAGTAATCAGACAGTATTCATATCTATGAACTTTAAATAATAGGAAGTTACCGTTGTTTCATTGTTGTATTTGGGGGCCACACCTTACTCCATTAAACTTACTGTGTATTTTCTCTATACACACAAGCCATCCTTCAAGTGCTTAATAGCCACATATATCCATTGATTACCGGTAGTGGACAGTGCAGATACAGAACATTTTCATTATCACCAAAACTTGTTCTAGGAGTCTAGAGTAACAGAGTGCTTGCCTAGTATGTGTGAGGCCCTGGATTCTATCCCCAGCACCAGGGGCATGGAGGTGGCAGGGTTGGTGGCGGGGGTTGCATTGGATAGCATTGGTCTAAACCATGGACAGATTGAGCATCCCTAATCTGAAATGCTCTGAAATCTGATTCTTTTTTTTTTTTTTAAAGTACTTAGCAATGTTGCTCAAAAAAGTCTTTAATTTTGAAGATTTTGAATTTGAGGTTTTTGGATTCATATGTTCACCCAGAATCTGAAACTCTTCTGGCCAGGCATTTTGGGTAAGGGATTCTCAACATGTGGTAACATTAATGTTTTATTAAAATGTCAGAGCTAACACCTGTAATCCTAGCTACTTGGGAGATTGAAGCAAAATGAGCACAACTTTGAGACTAGCTGGGCAACTTAGTGAGACCCTGTCTTAAAAAAAATAAAAAGGGCTGGGAGTGAAGTTCAATGGTAGAGTATTTGCTTTGTATGCGTGAGGCCCTGAGTTCAATTCCTAGTACTCCGCTAGACAAAAATACACACACACACACACACACACACACACACACACATATTCAATTGACCCACATTCATTGCTAATTTCTGCACTAATGCTTCTCCTCTGCCTTTGAAACTCAGATTCAAATCTCTCACA